CACAGCTTCATACACTGCCTCATTATTAGTTATAGAATGACATTTTATGGCTTGTCGAATGGTTTCACTCGTAGGTGGAACCAAAACAACTCCTAAACCTTCCCCCTTCACGTTAGATGAGTCATCAGTAAATAAGGTCCAAATTCTTGGATTAGACCTGTTAAACACTTATAATTCCTTTTCTGCTTCTAATTGCATCTCTTGGCTAAAATCAGCCAAAAAACCTGCTAACACCTGAGATTTTATCACGGTTCTGGGCTGATAAGTGATGTCATATTCACTTAATTCTATAGCCCATTTGGCTAATCTACCTGACAACTCATGCTTGTGTAATATATTGCATAATGGATAAGTAGTTACTACGGCAATAGGGTAACATTGAAAATAAGGCCTTAATTTTCTAGATGTCATGATTAGTGCAAGTGCAAGCTTTTCTAATTGAGGATACCTCGTCTCCGCATCTAATAATGATTTGCTGACATAATAAATTGGAGATTGTTTACCTTGGTCTTCACAAACTAAAACAGCACTCACCGCTACTTCTGAGACAGCAAGATAGATGAGCAGTCTTTCTCCAACCTTTGGTTTTGCGAGCAACGGCGGATTTGACAGGTATGTCTTCAAATTTTTGAGTGCCTGTTGACATTCCTCAGTCCATTCGAACTAATCTTGCTTTTTAAGAGCTGAAAATAATTTAAAGCACTCTTTTGAAGATTTGGAAATAAATCTCTCCAAGGCTGCAATTCTTCCTGTCAACCTCTGCACTTCTTTTTTACTTGTAAGCATGTCAGGGATTTCTTCAATGGCTTTAATCTGTACGGGATTCACTTCAATACCACGGTTAGAAACAAGAAAATTCAAAAACTTACCTGATGCAACACTGAATGCACATTTCTCAGGATTTAGTTTCATATTGAATTTTCTCAAGATCTGAAATGTATCAGACAAGTGTGATATATGATCCCCTGAATGTTGAGTTTTAACAAGCATATCGTCTATATAAACCTCCAAAGTTTTTCCTAAATTTTCGTGGAACATTTTGGTCACCAGTCTTTGATATGTTGCACCAGCATTTTTGAGACCAAAAGGAATTACTTTATAACAGTAAGTCCCCCTGTCTGTTATAAATAAAGTTTTTTCTTCATCTATAGGATCCATTTTGATCTGGTTGTATCCTAAATACGTATCTAAAAATCTTAACAACTCATGTCCTACAGTACCATCAATTAGTTAATCTATATGTGGTAATGAAAAAGAATCTTTAGGACAAGCTTTGTTAAGGTCTGTGTAATCCACACAAACTCACTATTTATCATTCTTTTTTGGGACCACAACAGTATTGGCTAACCAATTAGGATACTTTACCTCGCGGATAGACCCAATTTTTAATAATTTTTGGACCTCATCTTGAATCACCTGATTTTTGAACGTTTCTTGCTTTCTCTTCTTTTGTTTGACAGGTGGATATGATGGGTCTTCATTTAACTTGTGAGTCATTACCTCCGGTGGTATTCCTGTCATATCAGAATGGGACCAACCAAAACAATCCACGTTAGTTTTTAAAAATTCAATCAAGTTACCTTTCATATTTTGGCTTAGATTGGCCCCTACGTAGACTTTCCTTTCAGTCCATTGTGTAAATAACTCTACAGCCTCCAGTTCTTCAATCGTTATTTTGATATTTTCATTTTCCTCTGGTTTTTGGATGGAATCGGGCCTTGAGTCCACATCTGTTCGCCCTTGTTCAGTTGAGGCTTGTGTTGTGGTATCCTCAACTAGATTCTGTAACTGCTAATTTTCTTCGTTTCTCGTACTTGAATCTGCTACGGAGTTGATGCCCCTGGATGTCTGTTGATCCCCACGGATTTGACATATTCCCCATGGTGATGGAAATTTAACAACTTGATGTAAGGTAGACGGAAGACATCCATCTCTTGTATCCATGGTCTCCCGAGAATCATATTGTAAGCCATCTCCATCTCTACCACCTGAAACTTTGTATCTTTGACAACTCCTTCCACGAATGTAGTAAGTATTACCTCCCCTTTCGTCACAACACTGGAATTGTCGAATCCAAACAAAGCATACGCCTTTGGTACTAATTTATCTTCAGCTTGCATCTCGTGTAGTACTCTTAGCAAAATAATGTTCACGGAACTACCTGGATCAATCAAAACTCATTTCACATTAGTATCATGTACAAGTAGAGATATTACCAGTGCATTGTTATGTGGAGTTAATACGCCACCCACATCTGCATCATCAAACGTAATACTTTCTTCCTCTAAGACATGTCGAACCCGCTTCTCGTGGGTAATTGTGACCTTTGAAACTTTATTGGCTACTGTGTACGTCACACCATTGATTTCTTCACCTCCGCTTATAACATTGATGGTCCTTTTGGGAGAAGGCGGTTTAGGGGGCTCCTGCCTATTCTTCATGTATTCTTGCTTACCTTTCTCACTAAATAATTCGGTGAGATACCCTTGCTTTAATAGATGATCTTCACCTTGTAGCAACCTACAATCTGCCGTCTAATGACCATGATCGTCGTGAAATTCCCATCAGTGATCAGGATTGCGCTTGTTTGGATTCGATCTCATTTCTTTTGGCCATCGCACCTTATCACACATGCTTCTTAAAATAGGTACGAGCTCGAAAGTCTTACATTAAAATTATAACCGCCAAATCTTGCCTTTAAGTTTCTATCATCATCCCGCGACTCTCGCGTGTTTCGATCATTCCCAAATCTTGATGATGAGCCCGACTCTCTATTCCTCGATCTATGATCGTACCTTGAATTGTCATGTTTTGATCGTGAATCTTTTCCCGCTGGGCCCATATATGGTTTGTATCTGTTTTTACCAGACGTTTTTTCTGTTTCCGCCAGTCTCGAACTCACCTTTTCCTCTTTTTGAGACCGTGAGATAATATCTTCTTCTATCCTTAGCTTCGTGTTATGCCTGTTGTAAGCATCATTCCACGTTGTTGCTGGGAATTCAGAAATCTTTCCTTGAGTCGCCTCGTGGCTTTTGAGCTTTTTTCATTCAAATTACTAGTGAAGGCGCTGCCCAATTGTATGGCACACGCGGTAATGTCATTCTTTCACGCTGGAACCTATCCACGAACTCTCTAAGCAACTCTGAGTCCCCTTGCTTGATTTTGAAAATATCCTCCATTCTTTTTTCGACTTTTTGAGCTCCCGAATGTGCTTTGATAAATGAATCTGCAAGCTCAGCAAAAGAATTTATGGAATTTTTGGGTAAAAAAGAATATCATGTTAATGCTCCCTTAGTGAGTGTTTCATCGAATTTTTTGACCAATATTGATTCAATTTCTTGTTTGATCAAGTCGTTGCCTTTTGCGCCTGTTGTGAATGTAGTCACGTGGTCTCGTGGATCAGTAGTTCCATCGTATTTTGGAATATCGGGCATTTTAAATTTCTTTGGAATTGGGAGGGGAGCAGTACTTGGCTTCCAAGGTTGTTGTGAATATTTGTCCATATCTAACCCTTTGATTATAGGCGGTACGCCAGGTATTTGCTCTATGCGGTCACTTTGTTCCTTGAGCTGTTTCTGCAATGTTAATACTAAATTTTGTAAATCAGAATTAACTAAGTTACCTGGTTCTCCATCTCGTGACTCGTTGGGGATTCCACAACTGCCTGAATTAGCAAGCCCGGAACGAGGATTTTCCAAAGTGTTGTTATTTGGAGTGGGTGTTGGTGGTACAACAGGTAACTGGCTGGCAAAGGCCTCAAGAGTTTTATTGACTTGTTGAGCAATTAGCTTTTACAAAGCTTCATTGATAGCTTCATCATTTTCAAATTGAGCGTTTGCATTTGAATGAGATCCATCAGGAGTGCCTTCTCGAGACCGCCGGGGGGAGCTTTGTGGAGAAGGGATCGGGGTGCGATCATCTTGTGGATTCCCCTGTAGTTGATGATTTCCTTGGTTGTTGTCGTTAATGTTTGGCATGGTTGATGCAACAAAAGAGATTAGGTTAAGAAAGAATAGATTATCAGATTCCTAGTAACAGAACCAATTTGTTTAACTAAAAAATGGAATTTTGGTCAAAGCTTTATTTTAGAAGAACTCGGGTTACTAATAATCAAAAAATGAATAAAGGGAATTGATTTTGCTAACAATAAGATGAACAGAAGAAAACAAAGTAAATCAGTATATTCCGATGATGTTTTGTGTCCTTACAAATATTCAGTCTTCCCCTTTTTATAGCCATTTCTAAGATATATGTTTTGCCTTTGTCATAATAAGGCCATTATGGACAATTAAAGGCTTTTAATGCTACGTTACAATGATAATCATTGTAATTCAATACAGATTTTCTAGCGTTTTTAGTATTTAATGCTTAATAAATATTGTGTCTGTACTCTTTTATGCTGTCAGATTCATTCTCCTTAATTTTTGGATTTAAATAGGTACGAGCGTCGAGTCTTTTGAATATGTGCTCGTGCCTCTGCTTGTGCTTCTGCTCGTATCTGTTGCAACTCGTGCTCCTTTGCTAATCATCATTCTTTGACCAGCCTTCGTGTCATGACATGTCATCTTTCAATCACTTCAATATATATAAACTCAATTTTTTCCCAATACAGTCACCATGTAATGTATGTGCCGCTAAAGCTCTCTTTGGAAGGTAAGTCGAGTTATCACAATGCAAGAAAAACGTCATATTTAATGTTACCCACCTCTATGCCGGCTTCAGTGAAGCAGCTAACATCCCACAAGAATACTCTCTTGTGGATACCTGCTCCACTTGTTGATCTGCCTGAGTTGTGCATTTGTGCTAAATCATGAATTTTCTTTCTCAACTTTTTCTCCATAAATAATGATATCATCTATTTCTTCAACAACTAAGTAATAACTAATATGGCTACTAAATTAAAGTCCCCATGGATATGTCTCATTAAAGATACATATTTTGTCGTTATTGAGAGTGAGATGTTTGGATAGGTTGTCTTATGCAGTTTGGTGGANTAATTTCCTTCTTTTTCCAATTATAATCACCCTTTCTTGGGTTCTGGATAATCTTAAAAAAAGGCCTTGCTTGCCAATTGGCCTATCCTTAAATTTGCTGGTGAATTTGATACAATGGTTAGTACAATATTGGTTACTAATACCCTTATCTTAATTTCCATGTTGTAACTTTGCTAAAGGTAGATTGGTCACAGATAATAGTAGGCCTCTATATTCTAGATTTGGCTGCAAGCAATGGTTGTCAGCATGTGGGCTTGCCGCTTGACACAACGTATGGATTTTGAATACGAGAAACTACGTTGGAGACCAAGAGATTGAGAGATGGAAGAGTTTACAGGTGTTAACTTCCTGAAAGGTACGGATTCCTTTTTCTATAACTGATTACTTTCTGATGTCGGGGATGTATAACCTTAGAAAATCTCTTCCGAAATCTATTAAAACCTTCTCTCTTCATCTGTCTGGCATAAATAGTATTGTACCTACCATGGCTTGTAATGTATTTTCCAAGGGCAGAAGTGTAAGCTTGAGTAAACCAAAGAGATTAGAACATATATCTCATATTAACTGCAAGAATTTGTGACTGTGAAGCTCCCCTATGTAGTGCATGCTCTCTCTCTACATCATAATGTCTGGAAATAGATGATTCTGTTTGCACTATTTTTCAGTGTCTAAATTTTATTGTTACATAGAATATGGCACTGCTCTTCCCTTCTTCAATTCATCAGGTGATATTTAATTGGTTTTACATACAAGGAATTTACTGAACTTGGTTGTGCATCCAGGATGGAAAATGGAACGCTGGCTTTTATTGGGGATTCCCTCAGTAGACAACAATTTCAGTCACTTGTGTGTATGATTACTGGTGGTGAAGACAGACCTGATGTTCTCGACGTGGGACGTGAATATGGTCTTGTAAAGGTTCATGGTGCTAAACTACCTGATGGATGGGCTTATCGATTTTAGAGTACCCAAACAACTACTAACTTTACTTATGAGGACACTATTTTGAGGTAATTTAGTATAATTTTATCTTCCATGCCATTTGATTGGTATAGGTAGCCTAAAATTTGCTAATAAGCGCCATGACTGGCAGAGCCTTTTCATTGTTTCATCTCCATCGTCTATTCACCTGTATACCTCTTTATTTTCCCCTTTACTTCTTGATTTCTCTCTATGAATTCTCCTGTTGGCAATTGCAGATAGTTTATCCATTTTTGTTCAATTGAATTTGCTGCGAGTAGTTAATTGTTTGTGCAGTTTTTTTTTTTTTTGGTTTATTGCACTTCTTCTATTGCTAATCTAAATTTTGGTTGGTAAATGTTGGTTTTTTGCTATTTTGCATAATTGTTGCTAGAATTTTTACATACATATCAGTAAATATTCCTGATTTGCACATTTACTATTTTTTTTTGATGAAATATGTTCGTCTTCTGCTGTTTTGCCTAATTCTTGCTAGAATTTTTACATACATATCAGTAAATATTCCTGATTTGCACATTTACTATTTTTTTTTGATGAAATATGTTCGTCTTCTGCTGTTTTGCCTAATTCTTGCTAGAATTTTTACATACATATCAGTAAATATTCCTGATTTGCACATTTACTATTTTTTTTTGATGAAATATGTTCGTCTTCTGCTGTTTTGCCTAATTCTTGCTAGAATTTTTACGCACCTCCGAAAGATGGAAGTCAGGGTACAAGAAGTACAAGATAAGAAAGAAGAATAATTACCTCAATAATTCATCAAAGTGCTAGAAAAAAGAGCAAGGGAAAAGAAAACGACTAGGAGAAAAAAGTGTTCAGAGACAGTATAACTTACGACCGATAGATTAAAAGGAGATTTACTTCCCAACTATGAACAGTGTGCTAGGCTAACCAGTGCGACGGCGATTTTTTTTCAGGAATATACGCGTCAGAACCGGGGAAACCCCATATACCATGTGTACTTTGTTTTACTTTTTAATCTTTTTCATATGTGTTCTGCCAAA